TTGAAGCCTCTTTGAGCGAGGCGTCCAATTCAGGAAAGCATTTTAGCAGCAAATGCAGAAAGATGTCTGGAACCATGAGAGGCAACTGGAGACATTCGAAACAACATTTTAGACTGAGCGTGAGGGGCGATCCAGCTACCTGCCCCTGACTCGTTGTTTTTGTCTGCTGGGTCCGCTAAGGCCACCCTGACTTTTGGGTTTATGTAAGAGGGCCTCTGGAAAGAGGTTAATGTTTTAAAAGTCATCCAAGCTGTTTTTGGGCAAATGGCCCTCTGGAGTAATTACATTCTCAGCCTCTTACAGGATATTATTTTATAATGCCGATTCTTCATATTTTTTTTCCGGGAAAATGGCACAAACAAAACAAAACAAACAGCGTTGGTAAAACCATATTAATTAGCAAACCCCCGCGCCCCCCCGTGGATAGAGTGGGGCTGGGAGGTTGTTTGCATGGAGCAACTGGTATCGGCCTGGGATGATTATGACCCCCACCCTCCAGGATGGTGGGGGCACGCTGGCAGGGAAGCAGCCTTGGTTCCACAGCCTCAGGCCTGCAGCTGTGCTCCGAGGTAGCTGTGCTAGCACAGGGCAAGCAGGGTCACCAGCACAGCCCTTTGATTAGGGAGGGAGAGCCTGCATGGTTCTCCGTACTGATATCATGCAGTGATCCAGGTAGAATGGATGAACGAATGAACAAACGAATGAATGAATGAATGAATGATTGAATGAATGGACAAACAAATGAACAAAAATCAATTTCGGGTTTGTGACCCAGCATTGGACTTGCCATTCTTTGATAATGAGTGAATGGATGGATGGATGGATGGATGGATGTCTGCTTTAACCCTGTGACCCTGCATTAGGCTTGTTATTCTGAGAGAATGAATTAATGAAGAAGTGAATGAATTGAATTGAACTGAACTGAATGATTTTCTTCACATCAGTCCTGTGACCCTGCACTTAGATTTGCAGTTCCGGGAGGGAGAATGAATGTCCACGTCAGAGACTGGCGGTATTTTTAAACATACCCGATGTGACCCAATGTGTTCATAGAAGGTGAAGAGTGCAGCCCTTCTGCGTCTGGACATGTTCTGTATTCTCAGATCTGCATTTGATTCCCAGGCAGGTATTACCTTAATCCACAGGACGGGGAACACCTGCGCTCTCGTGGTGTGGGTCGGGGCGGGGGGGGGGGGGGGGGGGGGGGGGGGGGGGGGGGGGGGGGGTGCAGCTTGAGCCACACGGTCCACAAGCCAAACTAGAAAAGACCATAATCCCCTGCAGCAGGAAGAGGACATGCATAAAGGTAGCGTGAAAGATTATGAGCGTGTCCTCAGTCACAGTCCAGGACTTGCTGGCTCTGAAGTGGAGAGCCTGGCACATTTTTGGGTGCCTGGAAACCATCCTCTGATGAGCCAAGACCTCCTTCGGCAAGGCACTTCACCTGCCCACGCCCCCACCCTCAAGTTCTCACGCTTATGCCAGAAAAGACTTCTGCCATTTGCTGTGCTGTGCCACGACATTTCTGTAAGACTGGAATATCCACGGGGAAGAAGGTCATCCCTACAGCAGTCTATCAGCGTCTATAAAGACGGGGGCTCCCACTGGGGCTCGGGGCCCATTCACTGCACAGATTCTTATCCATAAAATGCTGTTTTGGAAAACGAGGCACCGTTTCCCAGCATGCCCTGTGCACACGGAGGGTTAGGGCAGGATTCTGATTGGTTAACAAGGGGCCTCCTCTCCTTCTTGCATTCCCGTGAGACTCAGGAGGTGGAGGGGCCTACCTGTGGGGCCCAAGTCAGAGGAAATAAAAGACGGGGGGGGGGGCTTATCTTGGAGACTGTACACTCCCTAGAGGCTGGGAAGTGGTGTGCCTCAGTGGATCTGCAACTCATGCAAACACCCCGCCCCCTCCCCCCCACAGACTGTTTACACTAACGGTTCCTAAAGTCGTCCCCTGGGCCCCTCAGTCATTAAAGCAGCGATACACCTGACTCAGGTAATTAACTCCTCATTAAGCCGTTTATTAGTTGGCTTATTTAAGCTGCCAGCGGATCATACATAGAGCTTCACGCCTCGGGAGAGATCTGAGAGTGTTGAGCACTCGACACAATCTCCCCTGCCCCCACCACTGGGTCCGTCGGGGGACACATTTGCCAGCTCCGAACACACCTGTGCGTTGCACCCAGCAAGCCGTGTTTAATGGCTACCGCTGCTCCTCGACGGCCTTCCTACTAGCCTATTAAACACCGGCGGCACAAGTGTGATCATGTGACTGGTGATTACCTCCAAAGTGCCCAACAGAAGGGGAAAAATGATGCAAATGTGGCTCAATTATTTACCTCAAAGTTACAATGTATCCTTTTATTAGACTGTGCTGCCCATCATGCCTTTCAACAATGATTCCTTTCTAATACTAATACCCAAGATGTTTTTAATAATGTGTCACTAAGAAGGGTTTTAGAATTTTTATCACAAATACTTTTGATGCACTCCTTGTAGTATTAAGCTTGATGTTGTATTTAATTTTTTAAACATTTTAATTTTTATTTCTTTTACACAATTTAACTAGATATTTTGATATTTATTTGTGCATTTATATATACATTTACATATTTATGTATAGGGTTACCAACTTTGGTCAGCTGGCTGGCCTGAGATTTTCAATTCGAGACTAGTCTGCACACGCATTTACATGTATGTAACAGTATCATTACCTTGTAAATAGTCTGTAGGGTTTGCAAACTAGCCCAGCACTTTTGATGTAGCTAATTTTAGGTTTATAATGAAATAATATAGATTTGCCCTAAGATGTCTTGCATGAGCGTGAGTCAGAAAGTGTGTCACACACAGCAGATACGTGAGAGTTGGACACCCTGTATATATACATGTGTATGTCTGTGTGTGTGTGTGTTTTATTTCCTATCTCTATGAGAATAGTTATTGACTGAACCTGAGACAGTTCCGTTTTTTAGTACCTACTCCAGACTAGATACTTTTCGCTCGAACACGAACTACTGGAGGGGCACTTACAGCAATAAACTTGATGACTGGTTGACGACAAGCGTCGTCGTTAACATGGAAATTACATGGAAGTGCAGGAAAAGATGGAATTACTTTTGTACCCCAATTACATTTAATGTATCAATTAATATATTTTCTGCTTGTGTCTCCCATATTTCTGCATCCATATTTGTCTAATATTGCCGGTGCTCACAATGAACCTTGCTAGTGCTTATTAGCAGGATAACATTACATCGGTGTTTATTCTTTGGAAAACACGATCGATCTGCTGGCCAGATTTAATAAGAATCATAAACTTGTTGCAGGTCATATAAGTAAAATATAAATAAAAAGCTGTGTCCCGTTTTGATGTCAATCGATTCCCCAGTAACTAACAAATAACTAACACAATGGTTTATGTATCCTCCATTGTTTTGGGTTGGCATTGTAGTTTTCTATGAAATTATGTGTGAAGTTATACCTACGAAATTTTCGCGTCACCCCTACTTAGTTAGCATAAAGGTCCCGGTTCCTGTTGTGTGATGTGAAAGCGACACACAGGTGAGGCCAGGAGCTACAAACATTGCAGGCCGAGACAGCCAAGGGGCTTGTGAACCAGGACCAGGTTCCGGAACTTCAGTGTAAAGGCATTGACATGGCATTAAGCTTTCAAATACCTACCTCCCTACTTGCCATAATGTGATGATTTTGCCCATTTACACTGATATTTTGTGCTGTATCCAGTCTCCTCAGTCGAAGGTCCAACGTTAGAGCCCCTTCCAGGACTTGAACTCGGAATCCTTCAGATTACAGTTCTTGCCAGTAGCGCTCACTCTGCCCCCTCGCTTTGTGCACCACGCGGCATTTCCGGGCGTTTGTTTAAAGCACCCCAAGCTCAGTGCGTCCACGCTTCCACGGACATTATCTCCGCTAAGCAGCGGCTGAGGAGGGCACGTCCGTCATCTGGAGCCAAAGGCAGCCCGCGCTGTAAATTTTGTCGTCTGCTGCCTGCACCTGTCATCTCCCTGGCGTGGGATGTACCGCGTCGAGTTCTGGCGGGCCGCTACATGCCGGAGAGAACGCCAAGGAGCTTAACGGCAGAACAAATGGGTTATCGCTCTCTCCTGGCTTGTTTTGATCGCGTTCCCTCTTTCTTCTTGCTAGGAGGTTTGGCCTCCAGAAGCACCAACCGCATTGAGTCTCCCTGCTGAGTTCTCTACCCTCAGTGAGATAAACCACTTTCTTGTTAATTACAGAAGAAATCTGCAAAAAAATGATAAAAAGGTGCGAAGTAATGAAATGATACCGCATGTGTAATATAAGATGGTATGAACATGAGAGTAACACGGAAGAAAAGATTCTCTTCCTTCTTTGTTAATCTCAATATTTTTTTGAAGTAGTTCTTGGTGGGAGATCCACAGCCCCTTGATGTCACTCAGCGCCTCATGGGGGGGGGTCCCTGCCATCTTCAGAGCCGCTCTGTTGTTCCCTGGCTTTTACCCCCTTGGAGGGGATTTGTGGGGGGGGGGGCACATTCGCAGGCGACCTGTAGTCCTCAGTATCTAAACTGACGCAACATAGAGATTTACCTCTCAGCTCAGTCAGTGGGCGCGGGGGGGGAGCGTGTGTCACTGTCCCTAAAGGCCCGATTGTTTCGGAGGATTACTCAGCCTCGTGCTGGGACTCGATTGTGTGCTCTGCTTTGCTTTGATTCACATATTTACATTTGCCAGTCACTGACTGAAAATTCAATAAACCCGGACAAGTCTTTGATCATCAATTTTTTTTTAATGACCTTGTACATTGGTTAAATGCATATAAATAAATTCAACTCAGGTCTCATCGTGAGACATATCTACCCATATATATATATAGGGTGATTTGCATAATGTTGATATCATGTAACTAGTTCCTGTGGATCTTGAGCTGGATGTGACCAAGGAGACGAGGTAGCTGGTGGTGCCGTGGAGCTCACTGGCTTCTCCCGCCCACAGGAATTCTCTCTACTGCAGCTGGACGACGTGGTGGACCAGCGGGTCAACATCGTGGGCTTCTCTGTCTTCAATCGCAGCCACCCCTTCTTCCAAGACTTCCTCCTCAGCCTTAATCGCTCCTGGCAGGAGAACTGTGACCACGCCCCCTTCGCCGGGGCTCCGGTGAGCCAGGGTCTGGGGGCGTGGGGGTGGAACGGACATGTTCGAATTGGGGGGGGGCTCTGAAGAGGGCGAATGTGTCCATCTCACAAGAACTAGTGCCTCCCACCTCCAGTTGATGGGCTCCCCCAGTTTGAACCTTCCCCCAGGATGAGGTGCCAACCCTTCTCAGGGCACACTCACACTTTTGCAACTCCAATTAACCTCAGCATGTTTTTGGACTGGGGGGGAGAGAACCGGAGTACCCAGAGGAAACCCTACAATGACACAGGGAGAACATGCAAATTCCACACACATGAAAGCCTGGCAGAGACTTGAACCCAGGTGGCAGAGGTGTGAGATAACAGTACTAACCACCACACCACTATGCCACCCACAAATCTTCTCTCCGCTCATTATTCAATTCTAATATTGCTAAATTAACACGTTTTCAAGTTCCTGAAAATATAACCTATTTTTGTCTAGATGTTTTTTTCATACAGAAGCACAGTTCGTTACACTTGAACCATGGGTGATTTTTGAGCTGTGTGTGTTTTGAAAAACTCTAATTGCCGGTACCAGGTTTAGAGCAACATTTGGAATGAGGGATCTACGAAATATAGGATGACATACCTGAACCATCCTGGAGGGTAATGTGACACATCCTTGGGCTATCACATGACCCATCCTGGAAGGTCATGTGACACATCCTTGGGCTATCACATGACCCATCCTGGAAGGTCACTTGACTTACATTTTGACAAGCTTAAGGTGTATTGGGGGGAGTGCATGAAACGCCATGGGGGCCTGCCAGAAGAGATTCAGAGCCACGGATTTAAACCATCCGGCGGCTGTGCGTTACCCCCAGGGGCCCGCAAATACAGGCTGTCGGAGGAAAAGGAGACATGACGGCGTTTCTCAGATGGGCACCACCAGCTGGGCTGTCTGGCAAGCCTGATGAAGTGGCTGGGGCTACGATGAGTCTGAAACACCACACAGTCCGTCAGCCAACTCACTCTGCTCTCCCCTGTCTATACACACACACACACACACAATCGGGTAAACATATCTTTATGGGGACCGCTCATTCATGTCTATGAGAGAAATGCTAACGCTAACTATGACAACCTTACCCAGCCCTAACCATAACCATAAGTAACCAAGCAAAATACGAGAGTTTTTGCATTTTTAGTTTTTTCATTTTAGTCACAGATTTTTTGTTAAATCGAGGAAACTGGTCCCCATAAGGGGAAAAAAGACTGGTATTCATCACGTTGTGGGGACATTGTGTACCTGCTCACACACACGCCGCTGCTGTGAAAAAACACACTTGCATGCATGCTGATCCTAAATAGAACACAACACACACACAGGATTTGGGCTGGGATCTTTGGACTTTCGGGTCCCTCACAGTGAATGCTGCCAATAGAGGGGGCAACGTCCCCCCTGCTACATTTTGACAACTGCATGATAACTTGAGTACTTTAGCACACAGGCAGACTTTGCTGACCAGGTGGGGTGGCTCCCCCAAGATAAACTATGCAGGCCTATGCTATGCCAGATGGCCATTCCAGCCCTGCACACACCCATATACTTTTTACCATGCAAGCACACAAACGCATAAAAGCGCTACTTTAACCCCATATCTGGGCTGTAATACTAATCTATAGCTTACTTATTGCCCCGCCCCTGCCTGAGAGGCCCCGCCCCTGCCTGAGAGGCCCCGCCCCTTGGCCTGAAAATCCCACCGACATTGAATGACATGCTGACATTTTGGAAGCTATGACTCTGTGCTGCATCCCCACCTGATTTTTTGCCAGGGCTGTCCTGTCCAGGATGTGGAGCAGGGCCCCCCCGTGAGTGAGCATTGTGTTTCTGCTTTATGTTTGGCACAAACCGAGCTGCCTCTCCCCAGCTTTGGCAGAGACGAGGCGGCCGGGCGAGCAAATGGAGTCGCAGCAGTCCCAGGACCCCTTTCATCCGAGTTTTGGCAGGGACACGCTTCCACACCATCCCACGCAATGTTTGCACACACGGGTGCCTTTGTGCGCAAACATGCCGCACGGACACGCCGCGGACGTGCAGACAGAGGCCTCTGCTTAACCCCCCCGTGTCGCACCTTGTGCTTGGCTTGCTAATAGCGAATGCACCGGGGGCTGTCCAAAATCCAGACGGTCATGTGACCCGGCTGTGGCCTCCCCTTCCTCAGCTGTCCTCGGCGCTGATGTTTGACGCGGTGTATGCCGTGGTGGCGGCCGTCCAGGAGCTGAACCGCAGCCAGAATGTCGGTGCCACGCAGCTCTCCTGCAAGTCCTCCAGGATCTGGGAGCACGGTACCAGCCTGATGAACTACCTGCGGATGGTGAGGGAAGCCAACAACCTCTCCTTAGACATCTTTACTAGAGAGACGACCGCCTTATTAAGACCTAACAGCTGCATGAATTAATTATGATTGATCCATTATTAAGCTGATTGGCTGAAAGTGCAATCAATAAATGCCCTTAAATAATACATATAGCAAGGTTTGGTCTTTTTTAAGCTAATCTCGCATTTGTGCGACGTGGCCTTAAAAGTGGATGTAATACAATTAAGGGCACGAAATCGAAGAGGGAAGACTTGTACTTTGAATTCTAGGCTCTGGGAGGGTGCAGCAGATGCAGGGGGGGATGGGTTTGGGTCTATGTGACACTCTGGGGGGGTGGCGGCTGCTGCGGAGCAATGACGTGCTGCCCCCTTGTGTCTCTCCCGGATAGGTAGAATTGGATGGTCTCACAGGGCACATCGAGTTCAACAGCAAGGGCCAGAGATCCAACTACGCCCTACGGGTCATGCAGAGCACCAGAGACGGGCTAAGGCAGGTAAAGTCACCTCCGGGCCGCCGGGGGTCAGCGGGACACGGACCTACAGTTACTGGGGTGGCCCGGAGGAGACGGCTTTCCCAGACCCCAGGGGCAATTCAAGGATTTTTTAAGGTGGGGGCACAAGAGTGGCAATAATACATACAGAGGGCATTACCTTGTCATTGTTGTTTTTTTTTCTTTGTGAGGTGACCTTCAGTGTCCTGAAAGGCACCATTAAATAATAATAATAATAATAATGTTATTAGCCAATGATATGTTTTGAATCAGTGAGTGACGGGAAGGGGGCACTCCAGGGTCCAATCAGCTTTCAGCTGGGGCCAGTGCCCCCTGTCTGGCCCCAAAGTCGTCGCACAACGCTTGAACTGTTACGACAGATGTGTCCGCCCTTCCGGATACATCTTGCTGAAAGTTCTGTTCGTTGTTTTTTTTTCTTTTTACAAGCACGTGTAATATGCTGAAATCTGGCCATTTTACAGGGAAACATCATATTCAAAGAGACTGTTTCATACCAGCCAGACATCGAGCGCCTCTGACAAACTGAGACGCTCCGAGACGTTATTGTGAATCTCAATGAGGCTGTGCCTTCAAACAGCACACAAAAGCCATCAAGCAAACAGGCCCGACTTAATATCCATTACACACTGGCGAGATCAATAGAAAACGCCATTATAAACTGTAATGAATCAGTAACCATGTTGCTGTTTAATGTTATCAACATAACTCTCGTGCTTTTGTGACAGCGAACCACTGTAATTGGTGTGAATTATGTAGTGCACAAACACAAAATTTCCATTATTTTAAACAAATCTGCCAGCAAAAGAAACAAACGTTGAGTAAGAAATGATGAAGGTGAGGAAACAGTCAGTTATTGTGGGTTAAAGAGGAAAGGTTAGGCTTCACCGAGCCTCACTATCCCGTCTCTGACCTGGCAGAGCGGTGAGAAAAAATACCCCACATTTTACCGTATTCACCACCGGCAGGACTCCATAGCTGTGTCCCAGCAAGCCTCCTCCGCAGCATGGAGAAGACGTTCCCACCCACAGGGGTTATTGACATAATGTTCCACTGCTGTGCAGAGAGGATTAGAGAAATCAGTTAGAGCACTGTTTCCCAATCCGGTCCTCGGGGACCCACAGTCAGTCCATGTTTTTGCTACCGGGAGCTTTGAGGGAGCAAAAACATGGACTGACTGTGGGTCCCTGAGGATTGGCTTGGAAAATACTAAGATCAGGAACTCTCAACCCAGTCCTTGGGGACCCCAGACAGTCCGCACTGTTGCTCCATCCGAGTTATTTATGTTGTCAGTTGCCTGATTGCTTGGTTCAGGTCCAGGTTTACCTAGTACGAGTGTTTTGGGAGCTATGAGGGACTGACTAAAATGTGTCTGGGGGTCCCTGAGAACTATGTTAAGAAACTCTGAGTTAGAGGGTCTTGGGTGGTAATGGAAGAGTCTGGAACATGGTAGGACTGCTCTCCGCTCCCCCTCCTGTTAGGAACATGAACAGATGGTTTATGACGCATGACTCAAGGGAAGAATGGTGACAGTGGAGCCTCTGGAGGGTTGTGGCTTCGTTGAGAGAAGTTGATCCCTCTGTGCTGACCTGGGGCATCTATGGTTGTATGATGGTCAGTTCCTCCCTCTTCCGATCCACTTAACCAGGCTAAACTCCCATCGACAGAGACAGATTCACCTGGGATTTCGCTGTCATCAAACGTGAAGCTGTCATTTCAGGGAAAAACACGTAATCGACTAATCAAGTGTGGGGCACCAGGTGGCACCAGTGGCAGGTGTGGCTCCACACTGGGATCGAGCTTTCATGACCATCCCCTGTATCAATGACCAATCTTCTAACCTGAACACTTGGTATCACAACTCGAAAATATTCGGCCACTTACTGTAGCTCCAGGTTTCAAGTCACCATCATATAACACAGTGTTTCTCAATCCAGTCCTCGGGGATCCTCAGAAAGTCCACATTTTTGCTCCAAACAATTGAGAACACTGAATACCTGCTACAGGTTTAGTGGTTCAGTTGTGATAACTCTACATAATGCTGAACCTTAGTGCTGAGTAATACCAGTATGAAGACAAGCCTACATTGATGGGGAGCTCCGGGTTTTATAGATGTTCCTCCCAAAATGAAAGATGCTCCTTTTCAACTTGGCTGCATCAGAGGACATGCTGGGCATTGGAAACGCTTGCCTTGGCCATGCCGTGGAGAATGTCACTATCTGCAACTACTGCATTCTGTGCTTTTGGCAGCTGAACTGCATCACACGCTTCTAGCGTGTTTACAACTGCACCATGCTGAACGTCTGAGAATAAGCGTTTCTACACGAACAGAAGAGCTTTTCTCTGCTCTCCTGTGATCCATTTGTGCAAAACATGATTACAGCTCCCTAGTTAATGTGATAAACCATTATGACTGTGAAGTCTCACCACAATGGGATTAGACAGTGGAGCGTGGTACCTGATATGTCAGAAATGGCATTTTCATATGTGAACATCCAGATTATAGAGGGAGTAGCTGAAATTTTGGTCCACTCTCTGGATTGCTTCCAACACTGTCATGCTGCAGACTGGTATTTGGTCGACCAAAGCAATATGAATCAGATCACTTGTTAAACCTTACTGGCATAAACATGGAAACAAGGGCTTAATGTTTATTTTTTTAGCAGACCCCTTTACCAAAGTGACATACAGTATCTGAAAAAAGTCTGGACATACCTACTGAAAATCATTTGTTTTTCAACAAGATAATGACTCTAGCTGCAGGGGTAGATTAAAGCATCGGATACCCTAGCCTGCAGCCTAAGGGCCTCGTATAAACAAGGGCCCCACCTGGCCAAACCTGGATTATCAATATGCAACTACCCCCCCCCCCCATCAACAATTTTCACCGCCAGCACCACACGTGCTGATTAGCATATTATTGACGTTCTATCATCTTTAATTCTGTCTTGTTACTCTTTCAGTTCAAAAAATAGCTTAAGTGCCGCACTTGAGGGGCCTCGTAGTCGTATCAGCCTGGGGACCCCAGATAAGTTAATCCTCCCCTGGATGGCTGTCTGAGACAGAGTGTAGATCGGTGGCCGGATGAGATAGCTTCTGAAAGGTTTCTGAAAAGGTCGTGAGGCCTTTTTTGAAGGATGAGCGGGACTCCACTCAGTAGATGTGGTTGGGAAGCTCAATAAAAATGCCACTTTACCTAACGGAGAAAATACACACTCTACACGCATACAGGGTGGGATTTGAACCCCCAACCATACAGATGTCGAACAAGAGTTTTGCCTATCGAGTCTAGCAAAAGAATTAAGGGATTGTTTCTCAATATGCGTACTTGGCCGTACTTGTGTTCTCGCTCACCCGTATGACGTCATGCTCCATCGCCGAAGTACAGTCCCAATACTCAAGAACAAAGGCATGGAGGGCAGTAAAAATACACGAGTGTCATTCTTGCCCCGCCTCGGATATCAAGGATACATTGGTTGCATTCTCATCAAGCAAGACAAATACCATGATTCTTTGCAACCCAAGTTCGTCTTTGGGAGGCAAGTTAGGGAGACCAATCTTGTCAAGACCGCAAGTATGATCTTTGCGTTCTTGGTATTGAGAAACACCAAAGGTCAGGCAAATTTATCAGCTTATAGTGTGTATAGTGTGAACTTCATTCAGCTTGCTGGTTCATGTTATAAATTGGCCCCTACCTAGAGTTGGGCATATGCACTGTGTCAATTCACCGGTCTCCTGGAGGGTGAGGCCACCAGTTGGTTGCCAGTGACGTGATGAATGTGTTACATGTGATGCACTCGATCTCGAGAATGGATCACCGGTTTCCGGCTTGTACCGGGGACACCGTCATACCAGCTGGCTCCTTTAAACCCACCGGTTATTAACTGTCACCTCAGTGGCTGCCCCACGTCCTCCGCTTAATTGCCTTAACATATGTGTGCAATGCTGCAGAAAATGGGGAAATTAGCATGAAATGTAAAACCCAGGTGTATGTCGGGTCTCTGGGACACCAGTATACATCACTGTCCTGCTGATCGATGTGGGACCCTGTTTGGTGTCCCATTCCATGTATACACATTGTTTAAATGATCGTGAAAGGTAGCATAGAATAAATCTATGTTTGTAGCATGTTCATTGTTAATTGTATGGCTGTTTGAAAGACTCTCATGGGCTACTAGCCCCAGGTTTCAACATCCACAAAATATTGGTGTAGGGACATGTCCCAAACCATACCCAAATTTACACCCTTGGATAACCCAGTAACAGCTCCAGTACAAAACTAACGGTTTATAGTGGTACTACAAGCCTATGCATTGAATGGGTAGAGAGCTTACTTAGTTATATGTCTTACACAGTTAGCCACAACAAATTGGCATTAAAACAATGGATAAGAGGTTCGTATTCAGCCAAAACTTTACCCTGAACTTTAGATGCACTTAAAATCCAGTTTTATTTCAATTTGGCTTGACAGTGTATGTCATTGTCTATAGTGAGATATCTGTAGATATTGTAGCCTTGGCATATCGATACAGTGGTTAGGAGGCTGTGGTATTCTGGGATGCGATTACAACTGCTGCCTTCTGGGTAAGTCTGGGTGGAAAAAAAAACCAAGGCCAGTCTACTAAATTCAAAAAAGCCATGTGTTTGTGTTAAATTATGCTTGCTTGTCTGAGTTTTAAGGAGCTTAATTGTCCTCAGAAATGAGTAACACGTAGCACGCTCATGAATAACCAACAAAGCCTGCGCTAACTTCATCATTGAGTTGGTAGGCCTTGACAGGCTAACGTCGGCCATGATTCAAGTCACGTGGCCCAAGAGAGGATATCTGTGACATCGCCATTCAGGTGCAAGATGTGGCCGCTAATTAAAAGTGTTGCCATGGCGCCAACAGCACTGCTGTCCTCCTACATAAAGTTTGCCAACCTGCATGCGACGCAGTTTGTTTCGACGTGTATATTTTAATTACCTCCGAGGGGCGTGAGATC